CACAAAAAAAATGGGATGTCCCGGGTTTTTCCCAGGACATTTGGTGGGTATGTAAATGTAAATTCCTAGCTCTCAAATGTATGCTCCAGTATGTGACTGAAGGCACTTTATTTAAAGTCACAGGCTTTGAATGTCCCAAAGCAGCTCTGCAGACTAACCATGGTTCACTTTCTGACAACAAACCACAATGTGAAGCTGTAGTCATAGCTGTCAACGTTTTCCTTTTTTTAAGGGAAATTCCCTTATTCCGAATAGGATTCCTCGCAAGAAAAGGGAAAAGTTGACAGCTATGGCTGCAGTTGGGGCGGGAGGCATCATGCTGAAGGAAGATTGCCTTTCCTCAGAGCTGGGAGGGTTCCCTCTAGTTATTTTTCAGCCATTATTCACTCTCTCCTGCATTGCAAGAGTATCAACAGAGGCCCTGAGGCCCTGGAATAACGACTTACTTTCCTCTTGGGTAGAGCACAGAGGAAAGAAACGCCATGATGCATCTGTAACTGGGAAACCTCACAGCCTTCATCTCCTGCATTGGTCTCTATAGCCACAACAGGGCAGGCTCTGTAACGCTCCAATGGATTGACTTTACCCCGATGGCACACTCTTCCATTGTCCCTCGAGACAGACAGATGCCAACAAGGATATATGGCCTACCAGACCTTCTTCAGTGTTATAATTCCGCTTCTTACTCAGAGGCGTAGCTAGAGAGCTGTGCCCCAGGAAAGCTACACTTGTTGCTCTGTCCTACCTACAGGCCCTGAACTGTCTCACGTGAACAGGCCCCCAGGAAAAACAGAGGATGTTGTCCCACAGCCCCGGTGGACAACTATTTCACTCCATTCCAACCATCCTTGGAGTGTGACAAAGCATTTCCTGATTGCCAACCAAACTGTTGCAACTTGAACCCAATTACCCTATTGTTCTTCCCTCCATGGTTCTGGTAAACAGCAGTTCTTTGCCTCTTAAGATATATTTCAACTGCTGTCACCTTCTCCCCACCAGCCCCCCGGGCACCAATCTTCTCTGCATGTGACATGTGCCCACCAGCATTTCCTCATGTGTCATGTGCTCCAAACTGTAGCTGGAAATGAATGCGTTTTGAGTTTATTAAAATCACCCTTACATTTCATTTTCATTTTTAAAATCATCAACCTGGTTTGTGTGCAAGCGTGAATGCTCAGGTAAATTAAAACGACATTCACTCACATTCTGAGGTAATATTTTACAACGAGAACGTGAGTGGTAAAACAGGAAATTGTGGAACATTTCAAATATTTGTGAATTTTCTTTTGAGCTCTGAATATTAGCTAGTGTGGGGCAAATTGTTCAGCCAACAATGGTTGATAACCACAAGAATGATAGCATAGTTACCCCCCACCCAAAGCCAAAGCAGATCGTTCTGTAAACAGTTTTACTGCCAGCAAGGAAAAAATATTAACAGGGTAATTCCTTCACATGTACATAGTACAGTTTAAAGGCCTGGATGGAGCTAAGATCCCAAGCGACATAGAATCATATGATAAACTTATACCAGAAAGGGAAATTTTTCAAAGACACAAAAAATGAGAGATCAGTTTCTGAACGCAATCCCCTCTTGCTTGGCTTGTAGGCAGGTGCCTAAAGCATCTTGTGTATCTTTTGAACATCTTTCCCCATCATCTACAGTTCCCAGGAGGATGGAGTAAGAAGGGGTAATAAACAACAACCCTTATTTATCGCTAAACCACATCCTTGTAGCTTTTCCGAGATGAAAATATGCCTGTATTGCCTCAGGCACCTGCATGAATCTGTTGATCATGGAGACTGTATGTAGGGCAGCTGGCGACACCCTTCTCCTTCTCCGCTGGTGAACGTCCTCCTCTGTCCCTATCTCATCATGGAAATAAGGGTTGGGAACATTGCAAACCTCCAAGGCGAGAGGGCGAGACAGGAAGGATTTATATGCATGGGATGCATATAGTTTTGTCATTTCTCTCTCAAAGCCACACACACACACACACACACACACACACACACAGCACATCTGAAATTGCTTAGTGTGTCCATGTGTGACATTTTTTCTGCTTCCACTTTCCTTTTTTTATAATAATTTTTATTAATTTTCAACATGAATATACAATATTATCCAATTTTTAACAAATTATCTCTTTTTGGACTTCCTTCAGCTTCTCTGACAATCATTCATCTTTACCTCTTAATTATGCATTTCTTCTAATTAGTATTGTCATTAGTCTTCCCTCCCGCTTCTATTTCTTTTAACAATACATCTCAAATTTCACAGTGCTTCTTGAAATCCCACTAGCGTTGTTTGCACATCACATACATTTTTCAGATATTCTACAAATTTCCCCCAGTCTTCGATGAACTTTCTGCTTCCACTTTCCATCTCTTTTGCCATTTTTGAGTTATTAACTGTACTATGCAATATTTCCCCCCCTTGATTGATCAAGAAAGCTCAACCACCACCACAAACCATTTACATCATGGGTGATCAGAAGCAATACAGTGGTACCTTGGGTTAAGAACTTAATTTGTTCTGGAGGTCCGTTCTTAACCTGAAACTGTTCTTAACCTGAAGCACCACTTTAGCTAATGGGGCCTCCTGCTGCTGCCGTGCTGCCGGAGCATGATTTCTGTTCTCATCCTGAAGCAAAGTTCTTAACCCGAGGTACTATTTCTGGGTTAGCGGAGTCTGTAACCTGAAGCGTCTGTAACCTGAAGCGTCTGTAACCCAAGGTACCACTGTATCTCGTTACACCACCACCTTTTGCACAACATTACCTTGAATATAATGGCATGTATGTAGGTACTTATATAATAATTTATTCCAAACAGTGTACACCCCACCTTTTACGTAATTATTTATTTGCTTGTTGCATTTATATCTTGCCTTTCTTCCAACGAGCTGAAGGTAGCACCTGCCACCTTTTATCCTCACAACAACCCTGTGGAGTAGGGCAGGTTGAAAGAGATGGCGACTAGACCAAGGTCACCCCAATGAGCTGTGTGGACATTTGAACCGGAGTCTCAGCAGTCCTAGTCCAGCACTCTAAACAATACCCCACACCAATTCTACTACATCACATTTGGGCTGTGTGTACACACTCCTGTTTACTGTGTAACCAGTGTGCTCCCACTGCTGGTTTGGGAAGGGGGGTACATACAACATTCGCCACAATCCATCTCTATCCTCCTCTTTCTTATGCAATGCTACATTTCCTCCCCAATCCAGCTTTGATGTGACCTGAGAACTTTGTGCTTCAACCCACATACATACTGCTTTGAAATACACCTTTCCTGCAGTGGGTGGTTCTACAAGGATGACATCAGCATAGGCATGCACTGTGGATGAGCGTCCCACTCACAGTGTGGACACAGAAAAATATACATACAGGTGGGCATGCACAGGTAAACAATTGGCTGTGTATCTGCAGAGGACACCTGGATGAAGATGACATCTGAGTGGTTGGAGGGGTGGGGAAACCAGCCAGGCAAAGCTCGTTGGGTGAAGACATCCCTGCCCCATCTCCACCCACTGCTGTGGACACATACAGCAGCGACTCAGATGCACATCAAAACCACGATAACATGTACAATGGCACACCAATGCGCTTTGAAGCAAATAAAAAAAGAATGACCTCACTGCATTCAAAGCTGGTAATATGTGCGTGGCCTTGCTCTACAATAATTTGCAATTTTTTAATAATTCAAGCAGCTAAAGTGTGGGGGAACACAAATGGGTGAAATCTCAGAACATGGAGTTCGCATATTTAGAGCCACAGTACACGATAGCATGTTGAATTTGCACTAGGGAGATCTTCCATGGGATTCAAATCCCTGCTCAGCCATGGAACTTGCTGGCTTCCATATGACCTGTTTGCAAAGAGATCAGATGACATCTATTTAATGGGCATCCATTCTGATTTGTTTGCAGGGAAGTTAGATGATGTTGCATCCAAGCCAGTGCTATTCCACACTTGCCAGTGCGTTTTCCCATCACTTCCTTCATTGCGAAAAGTCTGATCTTTTGGGGAAGTGGGTCTTTTGCGCAAGTCCTCCCAATCAACTATAGTTGTGCAAGCTGAATTTGCCTGTATGCGATTCGATCTCAGCAAAAAAAATGGCAACTGTCTGGAAGCACCCTGGGTGTGCTTCAGTCAGTCACTAACTGGCAGCTTAATGAGCCACCTCACAGGGTTGTTGTGAGGATAGAATGGAGGGGTCACCTTGCACACAGTCCTGGATGCTCTGGAAGACAGGTTGGCTTAAAATGTAATCAATAATCATGCGAGTGTACAGTGGTACCTCGGGTTAAGTACTTAATTCGTTCCGGAGGTCCGTACTTAACCTGAAACTGTTCTTAACCTGAAGCACCACTTTAGCTAATGGGGCCTCCTGCTGCTGCCGCGCCACCGGAGCACGATTTCTGTTCTCATCCTGAAGCAAAGTTCTTAACCCGAGGTACTATTTCTGGGTTAGCAGAGTCTGTAACCTGAAGCATATGTAACCTGAAGCATATGTAACCCAAGGTACCACTGTACAAGCAAGCACACTGGTTGGCATGGGCCATCAATTCAGGGTCCAGGGCACAGCCAGTGTTATATTAATATATTCCCCTTGAACATTCAAAACATTGAAAACTATTCCCACAACATTTCCTCCTTTTTTGGAGAAGTTGTTGCTACTGGTTAACTGAGGCAGGACCCAGTCCCAAATTCCTGAGACATTTGAAATAATATCAAATAAAGCACCCCTAAGAATATGCAGAGTGTATTTTATTCAGTAATGAGTAACCCCAACATTCTCCACAGATTTGGGATCAAGGTTTCAGGCCCATTCCAGCACCCCCTCCTTTTTACAAACTACCTATTAGTGAAAGTTGGAGGTTGAAGGAATATCCTAGAGATGTAATAACCTGCCTTACACTGAGTCAGTCCATTGGGCCATAGAGCTCAGTATTTTCTACACTGACTGGCAGCAAGGGGGACATTCCTACCCTTACTTGGAGATGCTGGGGATTGAACCTGGGACCTTCTGCATGCAAAGCAGATGCTCTACCACTGAGCTACGGCCCTTCTGGCCCTCTGGAGTGGGGGGCAGGTTGGTTCTTCTCTTTAAAAACAGGATTTGTTTCCCTAAGTTTCCAAGAGCTGTTGGCAAACAGAAGACGAGGAGGAACTCCTCCAATGAAAGAAACAGAAGGGGTGTGTCCTAATGGATTTGGTTCCATTTGAAATTAGATTGCTTTAAATAACCTCCCTCGCCCAGGCCTCCCGATCTGTGACCAATCCTGAAACATTGGCCCAAACATGACACATCACAGTACCTGCTACAACTGATGACAGGTGGACTTCCTCAGGTAGCCAGGCAGGCTGGGGCTTGTTGTCCTGGGTGGGGCTCCTTCCACCTCTCCTTTCAGAGTTGCCTGAAAGTCGTCACAGCATGTCAAAACCGAGACCAATAAGGCTGAGAGGGGCCAGGGGAAAAAAGATAAAAGGAAGGAGTAGTATACATTCCGTCACTAGTAGTATACTGTACATTTGAAGCTCATGGCTTCCTCTCCCAAAGAATCCTGGGAACTATAGTTTACCCACACACACACAGCTACAATTCTTAGCATGCTTAACAAACTGCAATTCCCAGGATTCCTTGGGGGAAGCCATGTGCTTTAAATGTATGGTGTGTGTGACAATGTATACATCCATTATTGTGGATGCTGCCGTAGATTTAATGCAGATCCAATGCTCATTTAAAGCACAAATAGGATTTCCATCAAAGAATCATGGGAACTGTAGTTTGTTAAGAATGCTGGGAATGACCCCTACATGAGGGGAAAACTGCAGTTCCCCAGATTTGGGGGCGGGGATCATGTTTGTACATTGCATATGCTTTAAAAATATGGTGCGGATCTGCTCTCAATCTGCTCTCAATGAGCAAGCGACGCTTTTCATGGCAGCTAGTTAAACATGATCATCTGATCACATAATCTTCTGGTTCTGCTGCTTTTTATTTCTGTGATTATGTTGGCTTAGTGCTAAGTTTTATTGTGCTTTATTGCTTTTAATTGCCTTGAGGTCATTTGTAGCAAAAGGCCAGGTGTAACATAGCAATCTTATGTATGTCTTCTCAGAAGGACAGTGGTACCTCGGGTTACAAACACCTCAGGTTACAAACACTTTGGGTTACAGACTCCGCTAACCCGGAAGTAGTACCTCGGATTAAGAACTTTACCTCAGGATGAGAACAGAAATCGCACAGCGGTGGTGCGGTGGCAGCAGGAGGCCCCATTAACTAAAGTGGTGCCTCAGGTTAAGAACAGTTTCAGGTTAAGAACGGACCTCCGGAACAAATTAAGTTCGTAACCAGAGGTACCACTGTAAGTCCCACCGAGATCAATGAGACTACTGCCAGGTAAGTGTGTACAGGATGGCAGCTTGGATGCCATAAATGACTAAAATAAAAAGTTTTCAGCTCTGTATTTTCGGTGGCTGTGGCCTGGCACTGCCTGCTATCATGCCTTGGAGCCCTCCTCCTGTACCTCTAGCTTCTCCCTCCAGGACTTGCCATGTGCCACCCCATCTTACATAAGAAGAGCTCTGCTAGAGCAGGTTATCAGACCTTGGTGCAATGACAAACTCTGCTTGCCCTGGATGAGCACAGGTGGGGTGTCAATATTTTTGAGGTGGCGAAAGGCACCCATATGGTGAACAAACCATAACCTTGGTTCCTAGTTGGTCTAAACTCTCTGTACTGGAGAAGTGCGACAAGCCACAGTTTTCTTAGGGCTGTCCTTTCCCCTAGCAAATTTCCTTTGTTTTGCAAGGAGTAGAAGTACCCATTATCTTCCACCTGCGTCACTGAGGCACTGGAGGGACTCTTGGCTTTTTTGCACAATAGTGCCCGAAAGGGACCCAGCCGAAGGGGAGGGGGGGTCACAGTGTAAGGGGTGAAATTACGGGCACACGCGGAGTTTGTCCGTGACACCCTGTGGAATCCGCAGCCGCAGGAGGATCACGCTGCCGAGAGAAGCAACAAACATGTCTCAAGTTTTACAAAATGGGCTGGAAAGTTTTTTACAACCGCAAAACAACCATTGTATAAGAGAGATCAAAGGCGAGGTTAAGAGCTGAAGGAGGCAACCTAAGCTGCTGCCATGGGGCATGTGCTGGCAGCCTACAGGCACAAAGAAGGAATGCTTCACTCGTGCCCGGCCATTACTCAACTGCCTCAGTTGATCCTGATGGGATTTAAGCTTCTTCACTAACATCTCTGGTGTTGCTTTGGCTGATGTTGCAAGCCAACCGTTGGGTAGCAAGGAATCCACCAAGGGCCTCTCTTCAGGGGCATGTGAGGCATTTATTTGGGGATCCAATCATAGTGTTGTACCCCACCCCAATCTCCAAGCAGTACAGTGGTACCTCGGATTTCATACGCTTCAGGTTACAGACTCCGCTAACCCAGAAATAGTACCTCGGGTTAAGAACTTTGCTTCAGGATGAGAACAGAAATCGTGCTCCGGTGGCGCAGCGGCAGCGGGAGGCCCCATTAGCTAAAGTGGTGCTTCAGGTTAAGAACAGTTTCATGTTAAGAACGGACCTCCGGAACGAATTAAGTACTTAACCCGAGGTATCACTGTACAAGATTCCAGGGGCTCCAGGCATTTACCCAGGCTTCGTGTTTTTTTTGGAATGAGGCACTGTGGAGAAGATGAAGTCTTTGGGATATATGGTTTATTTACACATCTGTACAATCTGAGCCTATGAAGGAGGATTTCACAACATTCACACCCCACAACCACAGCCTTGGATTCAAACAGAAGTCAAGCATTGCTTTATCTCTCTGTCTTCCACTAGCTTGCTGCTTTTCCTTTGGCCCACATCACTGCCAACTCTGCTCTCAACTCTCGCTTTGTCCTTCTAACCATTTGCTAGCTGAGGGAGTCCAAATCTTGGGGGAGCCATCTCCCCCATTTGCCATCTCACACTGAGCTGTTTTCCCCTTAATGGCCCAACCCCCAAGCAATCACCTCACCAGGCTTATATTTTAATACTTGCTGGATCCAGGGGTTAGAATAAGGGCCTATTTAACTCCATAATTCATTAGTTTTTTCCATAGTGGATAGTGAGGTAGAACCCAAACTGTAGTGGAACAGAAACAGTGCTGATTAGTGACAATTCATAGAACTTAATCCCGCATTCAGCATTTAACAGAATTTGGTTATTTCAGTAAGATAAGCTTAATGATGTTGTGTCTTCCCCTCCCTTCTCACTTCTCTTTTCAGCTACTGCATACGACTATCTTCCACCCACTGTATAAAAACACTACATATTTTATTGTACAAAAACTGGTATCTGTTAGTTTATCTATTTCTAATAAACATATGGTTTATTTATTTCCTTTTTAAACCTTATTTTTGAATATGTCCCCCCAAAGATGCTATATTTCCGCATGTAAACCAAAAAGTTTTTGATACTGCGTTTTCTTCAATATAAATAACAAAATTATTTAGAAAAATATGAAAGAGCACTGATTGCCCTGAATCCATGGTGGGACAGAAGTTGTTGCCTCCTTACACTCCTACCCAATCTTTATGATACCAATCCTAATGCTACCTGGGTCCTGAAATCATGCTTCACATTTGCTCAGCAGCAGCCCAGGAGAAGAGGCCACAGTTCACCCTGATAGATCACTATCACCCTTCCATTTAAGTGACCTTTGGACAAACCCCCTTTTAGCTCCTTGTGACTCTGGACACTGCAGGGTGTGTAAAAGGGGGGGGGTCCCTTAAGGAAATGACTGTATGTGTAAGGAAGGTGTTCATGAACAGCAGGTAAATGCTTCTCAACTTAAAAACAGCTGTTCTTCAATATGTTTGTTTCTGGATAGTAACAGTCCAGTAGACACTAAAACAGAGGTTCTCAGCCTGTGGGTCCCCAGATGTTGTTGGACTACAACTCCCATCATCCCTGACCACTGGTCATGCTGGCTAGGAATGATGGGAGTTGTAGTCCAACAACATCTCGGTTGAGAAACACTGCACTAAAATATACATAAACATTGGGGCTTGGTAGCAGGGTTCCCCGAAGAGGAAATGACTTCACATCTTTGAAGACCCTACACACCATGAGCTATTTGTACAAGGCCAGCCAGCAGTGGAGGCAGGGCATAGCTGTAGCAGCAAGTAGCCAATGGTAACCTTATCCTTCATGAACCTGCCAAATCCTCTTTCGAAGTCATCCAAGTTTTTGGCCGCCAACCACGTCTTCTGGAAGCCAAGTCTGTATTTTATCTATGCGCTGCTCTGCTGCCTGCAAGACCAAGCCCAGTGCCCTGCCAGTCCCACCAGCGGCAACCAAGTGAGCAGCCGTTCTTTAGCGTTCAATGGAAGGCCTGTAAATGAGGTCAAAGGAGAGTGAGACAAACACTCTGGTCCCAACCTGTTATTAGGTAGTAATACCTAATCAGTAAAGAGGACCAAGGCAGACCTGAGGCTATCCGGTCACTGCCCAATCAGGCCACTCGATGGAGCCCAAGGAAAGTACAGAGATTAACAAACAACTTAATTAAAACCAATCTAGTAATTAAAATGAGAACAAGTTGTTTGTTTGTCTTTGCAGCCACCTTTTTCTTCTTTTTTTGCAAAAGTAATCTGCATAGAGGAGGAAGCAGGAGTTTCATTGCATAAAATGTTAATGCTGTTGCTGCTGCTGCTGCTGCAGTTTGGCATGACTGTATATATTACATTGCACTGGGATTATTACCTTGTCTTGGAGGTGACTGCAGGATATTGGCTGTGGGGCATCGTCAAGGACAACACCCATACCTTCCCGGGTGCTCTTAGAGGCTGTTGCAAATTTATTTTTGAAAAGAAAAGAGGCCAATTACGGAGCAAACACATTATAATTGTAATCCATTTATTCAAAAAAAACATTTGCATTCCAATTCCCCATGCGCTTGAGGCGGCGTGGATTGATTAAAGAAATAAAACAATCAACCTAAATTAGACTGTGTGCCTGTAGACGTACAGTGGGAAATTGCACCGTGTGGGAGCGGAGCACTTTGCGGCAGCTCT